TTTTTTTTTCACTGCTTGTCCTATTTTGGCACAATCCCTAAACTGAACTTGAGTAGTTTTACTAAGGGCACCCATCTCACATGAAATTGAACTATGTCAAACATATTCTACCTGCCTTCCTGATATAAATTACTATACATTTGATATGGTAATTAATTCTGAGACACTAATTTGGGCAAAGAGCACTAATGACTTGTTTAAGACTTGAAGCTAAAAGTTGAGGACTTGCCTGTCTTGACTCGGGACTTGACTCGAGAATTGAATGCAAAGACTCGAGACTTACTTGTGACTTGCAAAACAACGACTTGGTCACACCTCTGGTGAATAGTGTGTGGGGGAGTGAGTGAGTGAGCAGCATACGGTTGAAAGCACTTCCACAATTTAACTTCCTTGTTTTTAATGTGAAATAAACTGATTCTATAAATGCTCATGCTTGATAAAAAAGATTGTCAAATCAAGCCATTACTGTAAAATATGAACATAGGCCTATCATATGTGTATGTGATATATTAAGAATGATATTCTAATTAATAATTTTAAGAACAAATGCAACACCTGACAAGCTGTAAAACTTTATGGTATAATTTTTTTCATTTGCATGATCGTTGTTTTCAAAGTAGTGAAGCTTTCCCAGAAATATATATATATATATATATATATATATATATTTACCACTACCTCAATTTATTCACAACCACATGATGTCATGTAACAGATCACTCTATATAAAACGGTTTTCATCAGAAAGTTTAAAACGCAAGTCTATTTTAAGAGCCAAAAATAAATAAACAAATTCCAAAAGCCCATGACCCCATTTAAATGGCCGTAAATGGAAACGTGTTTTTTTGTCTGCAAAAATGGTATAATTAGGGCATCTTTGCTAACAAGGTCATATTAACCAGCTAAACCGTGACCGCTGGATATAATACCATGGATTACATTAACTAGCGCTCTCTAGTGTTCACAACAAGCGTTTATATCTCTCTCAATATTTATTCATAACCTGATAAAGACGTTCTTCATCACTGACAGAAAACAGAATCAAATTATATATTTTGGTTCAAATGACAGCAGGTAAGGATTCACTTCATTAAGCCCTCTTTTTGTTCTCTACATTAAATAAAGTAACGTTACTTTTGAGAAGCTGCTCCAAACGATTCAGTGGATCAGTGAGCTGTTTAATTCAGACTGGAACGCGAACGATTCACTTTAACCCGTTTGACCAAATCATATGGAAAAGATTCGGCTCAAAAGAGTGATTCATTCGCAAATCGCTGGTTCTGATTCTGAACAGCCAACAGAAAATACCCGACACATGATGATTAGGCCTACCTATAAATGCCGAGTAATTAAATAACTCAAAACTATTTGACTACTAAAATAAAAGCACCTACAGCTGTGTACTCAACAATCCCATCAGCAACCAGACCACACATTATTACATTTACATTTAGTTATTTAGCATACACTTTTATCCAAAGCGACTTACAACTGAGTACAATAAAAGCAGTCAAAACAACAAAAAAGCAAAAATATGTAAGTGCTGTGACAAGTCCTGGTTAGTCTAATGCCGTACATGTAGCAAGGGTTTATTATGATAAATAAAAAGAAAACAAGAAGATAGAATAGAAATAGAATAGAGAGTACTAGTGTTAGAGGGTCTTTTTTTAATAAATAAAAGAAAAATAGTAGATATAATAGCAATAGAATAGAGAGTGTTAGTGTTAGAGGGTCAAGTGTAGATGGAGGAGATGTGTTTTTAGTTGTTTCTTGAAGATGGCTAAGGACTCAGCTGCTGGGATTGAGTTCGGCAGGTCATTCCACCAGCAGGGAACAGTTAATGTAAAAGTCTGTGAAAGTGATTTTGTGCCTTTTTGGGATGGCACAGTAAAGCGCCATTCACTTGCAGAATGCAAGCTTCTGGAGGGCACATAAGTCTGAATAATGAATTTAGGTAAAGGGGTGCAGAGCCAGTGATTGTTTCGTATGCAAACATCAATGCCGTGAATTTAATTTCATCTGGAGACATCTGAACATCAGCAAACTCTGTCACACTTGTGCAGGTACAGCAGTGGCAGTGCTGATATTGGTGACTATTTTTTTTTTACCAACAATTAAAGTTCGTAGTTATTTATCATAAAGCCCCCAAATAAGTCCCTCATATTTTTGTTTCAAAAAATGAGGATTAATTTTCTTACATTGACACTACCTGCACTTTTTAAATTCCTGACCGATACTGAAGTCAACTTGTTGAAAATCACTGTTTTATCATTGCTCATTTATTTCAGAAATCCATGTCCACTGTTGTGGTTTTACTGAAGCTGTGAACCGATTGGTCGTCTCTGGTCTGGTGGGTGTGGCTACTGTGGCTGTTCTGGTTTATGACTTCATATATAAAAGTGGTTAAAAGGAGAGAACAGATAATACAAATATTTTGTAAAAAGTTTTGATCTATGAATTTGAAAATATATATTCGAGGATTTAAATTCAAGTTATCAATAAAATCAACAAGAGGTTTAATGTGTGGGTGCAAATAAGAAAAGACAAATGCTTTTTAATAGATAAAAGTAAACCACACTGTATGAGGAAAGAAACATGGCACTCACAAGAGAATGTGGTCTAAGATCTTGTTTAGTGATGCAAAACAGAGATTTGCTTACCAAAGCTTTCCTAAATATTGTGTATGTTAGGTATGTTAGGTAATTGTATGTTATGTTAGGGTGTATGTTTATCTGGTGGCCAATCCTTTACAACTTTACAACATTTTCTTACCTGCCATGAATTTTATATTTCTTTTTCAATTACATGTTTTTAAATCATTTATGTTGCTTTGCATCATTGTCATTTTGTACAGTTTCAACTGTACGCAGCAACAATGCAAATGCTTTTGCAATATCAACGGTAACGCCATTAAACACCTTAAAATTCAAACTAAAAATTAAACAGCACCCACCGAACTGATACACATGAATCATATACAGGCCTATATTTTTAATTGAAGAGGTGTCACAATATCAACAATTCTAATTAAATGATTCCACTGATTTAGTCTGTACCAGTTGGTCAATGAAGATGTTTTTTTTTTTTTAAATGTTTAACTCCATGAATTAGTTATTAAAAGCCTTCTCTCCTAATTGTAAGGGGGCATCTTACCCCAAGGGTCTTAACCTTTCATTACGGACATACAATTGTTATTTTGTGAATTATAACACATTTACAGCATTTACCCAGTTTATTGTAAAACCACAAAGACAGAGTAAATAATGTACACCTCATAATACAGTACTAATACAAGTTTGTTATAAGACAAAAGAGTGCAAAAGTGACATAGCAATTTTCCAGTGGCCAGTGGTACTTTTTGGAAGTATTTTCCCATTTATTTTGTCAATAGAAATTTCACAAAAATAGTTCTAAGCCAAATCATCAACCTTCAATATGAATCACATAATTACAGACTTCAGGTTTAATCACAGAGAGAGATAGAGAGATAGAGAGAGAGAGAGAGATAGAGAGATAGAGAGATAGAGAGAGATAGAGAGATAGAGAGATAGAGAGAGAGAGAGAGATATAGAGAGAGAGAGAGAGAGAGAGACAGAGAAGAAAGTAAAATACTGTAAACTTCATTTTTGATGGAAGGAATGTGTGTGTGTGTGTGTGTGTGTGTGTGTGTGTGTGTGTTTGTGGGTTTTATCTTACATTGTACTTTATTTTGTTACTGATGAATCTGTGGTTGATTTGTTTTAAAGGTTTATATAGAATTATTAAAAATGCATTTCTCTATGGGGGAAAAAAATGGGATTGTCACTTCCAAAATAAACCGCTGGCTTCTTTAACAGTACAAATGCAGCAACTGAAGTTTCAAAGTTATCTATCAAGTATATGATTTAATGATATAACATTATTTAATTATAATGATATAATTTTTTTGTGCAAAGACTAGAAAATTCATCATCAAAATACAAAACCTGTTGAACAACTATCTATTAACAAGAAGTCAGAATGCCTTGATCATCACACAGCTAAAATTATCCACAGTGGCTGTTAAAATTGCAGATAATTTCAGATCTTTTTCCACCTTCAATGCACTATTAAAAATGTATGCAACAAACAAAAAGAAACTTTAAAGAAGAAAGAAGAACCTAATCAAATGACCTGGTTGCATAAGAGTGCACACGCTTTTATAATGGGGGATGGGTTACTGGTGAATTAACCAATTAAATTCAAATTCTTACTAAAGAATTATGCTGTTTTCAGCTCTAGTTTCGCAGTTTAGCGACCCCTAGTAAATTGCACTTGGATTCAGTTGTTGTCTCAAGTCTTTGTTGGAGGAGTGTTAAGCTTGCTGCATAGCTATGTATGTGTACACATAGTGAGGGCAGTAAAAAAGAATTAAAATCCTCCAGTTATAATTGTAAGTGATGCTGATTAACCCTGAATAAAAAAAAAAAAAACATTTCTGTAAGGTTTTCTCAATATATTCTTGGTTGCATCTTATTGATGAACCCTTACCAAAAAGTAGTATACTTCAAGTTTATTTTAGTAAGTAAATAAACAACATTTTGAACAAAAAGCTGAAAAAAGACTATGAATTGGATTCAGAATGATAATCAAAACGTAGATAAAGTCGATCAACACCCCAAAGCTTGACAGTTATTATTACCTCTTTATTGGTCGACATTTTATTCCATAACGTTACACAGTTTTGATACTGTTTTATGTCTGATGATCATGTAAGAATACATGTGGAAGCATCTGTTGTTTTCGGTTTCTTCTTCACTTGTGTTTTTTGGAAATTCTGTACAGAAGATGTGTACTAGCGCCCTCTACAGTATAACAATGAAAACACAGATTCTAGGAGCACAATTATAGCTAAAATATATTTAGACTTTTTCTAAGTATAAGTCAAGTATACTTAAATGTCATTTTAAGTATATTTCTGAGAAGTACATAAAGCCCATTTCTGAGAAGTACATAAAAAGTAGACTAAAAGTATACTTTCCTATTTTTAGTTTAAAATAAGTGTACTAATAGCTCACTTGAATAAACTTCTTTTTCGTAAGGGAAGCCATGGCCTGCCAAGAGCTTACAAAAGACGCATTGGGGATCTTGTTGTGAAAAGGTAGGAATCAGGAAAGGGTGCAAAAATATTTGCAAAACAGGTGTCATGGAATACATGTGAAGGTAATCACAAGTGGAGACAATAGGGTACAACAATGACATTCAAGAACAGGAATAACAGGAAAAACTAAATGAAAATGCATCAAAAAGTTTGCCAACAGATTTATGTAACATTAAAGAAAACATAAAAAAAAACATCTTTTAACTTAAGTGCCGCATTTAGAATGCCATGCTGTGAGCAAGATGCTGCAAAAGACGTGAGTGCTGCAGTTAAACACGTCTGTCTAGCATGTGATTACATAGAAAAACAATCAGAAAGTATCGCAGTGGAATGGAAAAACACGTTCTGTGTGAAAGGCCCCTGAGACTACCTTAAACTGTGTTACTGTCTGATGAAACCAAATTACAGACCATTTGGCACAAAACCTGCAGGCCTCCATTAAAATCTGAAGATGAAGAAGATTTTAAGTCAATAAAGGAATGGCTTCAGAAGAGGAAAGGTCCAGTCTGAGGCCAGGCCTAAATCCAATCCAAACACTTGAGGAATGTCTCGAAGAGGGCTGTAGAAAGGAGATCCCCCACAATATGATCAATCTGGAGCTCTTTTGCAAGGAAGAGCGGTAAAAATAGCCCAATCAAGATATATTCAAAAAGACTGGCTGCTGTATTAAATGCAAAAGGTGTATCATCCAAATACAGTACAGGCTGAAGTGCATTTCTGCTGATTTATGTCAAGGGAATCTTCTTGTGGGACCAGATGAAGTGTCCTGAAAAAAAAAATCATAATTAAAAACTAATTTAGCACATTAAATTATATTTTTCTCTGACTATGATATCTGTAGGTGATCAATCACACCTTCTGCGGCGATAGCAAATCACACCAACTGCTGCAGACGCAAGCAGAAGAACAACACATATTCCTGCTACAGCAGCTGGAGACGGACCTGAATCTGGAACAGATAAAGACAGACAATCATTAGCGTATAAGACTGATCTATAGCCTTGTTCAGACTGGCTTCTGTGGCAATGGCGTTGCATTGGTATGCCTACTCTAAAACAATAACAGCAACACAATTTTATGAGGCAGCAGCAGAAACACAGGAAGCTGGAATGCGCCGATCTCAAAACTCAAAGATGTGAGTAGACCAGCAGTATATTGTCATTTTCCGCTTGAATTGCACTTCACAACAACACAACCTTGTTTCCGCAAAGACATTCAGGATGTTTCTACAAACAGCGTCTGATGTGTTTACGTTTTACGTGGCGTGAGAAAGTCACATGGGCAAAAAAGCTATGCTAAATCCTAAATGCGATTTGAATGGGATTTTAAACCACATACAAATGTAGCTTGAAACGGATTTGCATTTCACACTTGCTAAATATGATCGGATTCCAATCGGATATGCACAAAAATCGGATTTGGACTGACAGTCTGAGCAAGGCTTACAAGACATTAAAGGTCTGAGAGAGTAAATATGAATTTAATACAGTTTAAAGTGTCACTGTTTCAAAGGTACTTCAGAACCAAGTTGTCAAGGTACTAAAATAAAAAGATGTAACAATATCATGTTTCTCTATATTCCTCTGTAAGAGTCCAAATAGCTGAATGACTAAATTACACTTACTAATGACAGTCACATCGAAGCTCTTTACACTGCTGATGCTGTGGCGACGACGACGGCTGCTGCTGCTGCTGATCTGTAGTTCATAAACTCCAGAGTCTGTGATTCTGATGTTCCTGATGGTCAGAGATCCAGTCTGATGATCCAGCTTCAGTCTGTGTCTGAATCTCACACACACACACACACACACACACAATTAAATATCAATTTTGCACAATACAGATAATGTTTTCCTCTCACTGTAATATTAATAGGCAATACTTGTCATTTCTGGAGCTCCTGCGGCGATAGAAAATCACACCAACAGCTACAGCTGCAGCCACCAGTAGAACAATAACAGATAGACCTGCTACAGCACCTGGAGACAGACCTGAATCTGGAATAAAAGAGAGACTGAATGAATGAATGAGTCAGATTGGTCTATAACAAACAATATAAGATATAAGGTTTGAGAAAGTAAATGTGAACCTGATTCAGTTTAAAATAAAACAATGTTTGATTCAGTGATATCAAAATCACTGTTGATTCAGTACCAAGTCATCAAGGTAGCAAAATTAAAAAAATAAATGTAACGATACAATTCTTTATATTTCTCTGTATGTGTCCAAATGCCTGAATGACTAAATTATACTTACTAATGACAGTAACATCGAAGCTCTTTACACGG